TTATATATATATATATGTAATAATAAAGATGGAATTAAGCCACAGGACTTACATATGCAAGAACAAAACAGGAGTCTATGACAAAGATGGCAGACACTTTGTTTTTAACAGAAACATACAATTGAAAGCGATGACTGAAAGATGAAATAACCTTAAGCTTTAACAAACATAACATTCACCAATCCTGCCTAAAATTCAAAATATTTAATTGCTAAGAACATAAAAATACATTTTGAGCTTTAGAATGAGGTGCAGTAAGATTACCATTGCATCTGATGCCATGGAGTAGTGCCTTATCTGGAGATTTGGCAACTGCAAATAGCCCTTTAGGAAAAGGGTATTATGTTCAACAGAACTAAGTAACAGGGCACCCAGGCATCATGACCAACATTGAAATGTTTATCTCAAAGCTATTTTCTCCTTAGTAATACATAACATTGCAACACAAAAAGGACTTCTTCAAAAAAAGCACAGAGATCAAAGGTTCAAAAAGCTAGTAATGCCTTTTAAGCAAGCAGACAGTCTGAATCTGTGATAATCTGACAGCATGCTGTCAATCTCCTTTTAGATGATCACCCAGGTGATTAGTAATTAAGACATTAACTATGACTTCTCTATTTTTACTGTAAGTGAAATGCTACTGTTCGACACTATAGCATTCAAAAAGACTGCATGTTTAAGTCTCAAAAGCAGACAAAGCCCAGAGGGAAGTGGCTCATTTGATACAACAGTCAGACCACAGGTGCAGCTGCTACACGTAACAGACTTCATTTTTACCAAGTACAAATTCAGCCTGTTGAGGTGGTAGAGACAGAAGTGTTGATCTCAGAATATCATTATAGCAAAAATTATTTATCCATTTCATTAAGCAAAATTCATTAAAATAATAATTTGGTGCCAATTTCTTAAACTTTCATTTTAAATATTTGGCTACGTTGACAAGAACACAGCTTTTCTTGCAATACAGATCCTGAAACAAGAAGTGTGACAGCCTGCATTAGGAAAGTCTTAGCATAAGCTGACCTGAAACATCCAAGTTCACTGTAACTTGAAATCATTATGCAACAATGCAAAGTCACAAGCAGATGAAAAAACAGCCATATGCAAGATATACTAACCACAACTATGTCAGGAATTTACAGAATCAAGTTTTAAAATAAGGACCTACTGGCCTATGTGGAGTGAACCAAATTTAAACAATAATGCAGCAAAAAAATAACAACAAGGATTTTAGTAGCTTAATGAGACAGAATCCTCTAAATTTAAAGGGCTTATCATAACATAGTGTAAAGGAAGTATTTAATACATGAATAACACTGGCAAAACAAGTTATAAGGGAACTCATGAGGGGTTGTATTTTAGAAGCACACCGACCCACCATGGCATCTTTCACTATCTCCCTGGTTCACAAGCTCCAGTTTCCCCTGAAGCAACTTGTGTAAATACCAGAGATACAGGATATTTGTACTGCTTCCCTTTCAAACACCTTGCCTTGTTTGGCTTGGCAAAAGAGTAACCACTCTTAAAGGTGCTATTTCACTAGCTAGCACACAGTGTTTGCACTAGCATAATGCACAGCAACAGACAGTAAGTTTCACAGTATCATGTTTCTAAACTGAGGTGCCTAAGACCACCCTATACACTGCTTTACAATCTGTCCTTGGCAAGCCTTTCAAAGCCCAAAACAAGGCATTTACCTGCCAGCAACTACGTGATTTGAACAAGAATTTGCAGGAGGAATCTCCTCCCTTTTTCACTGCAGCACAGAACAGTAGGTGTGAACTTGGGAACATCCTACTCCTTTGAAGTAGAACACTGCCAAGCACTTCTAGGCTTTGCTGAGCCTTCTTTCCAGCTAAAACTGTTGGTAAGAGTGCTTCGGAACTTCCTAATTACTGCTTTCCCCTAGATGTAACTGAAGCACTGTCTCCACTGCTTCTATTTCACTTATAAACAGATAGCTCTGTGAGACATTTTGTTGTTCATGCATACTGAAAGACCCGTGACTTAATCCTTGTAGCTGCACTGTTCTCCAGAATAGGCTGTCTACGTACTTGGCTCCTTCCCTGCTCCAATTGCCTGCTAACCCCACCACAGGGTGAGAAACCCTAACCACAACCAATTACCTCCTGTTTGCTGAAGAGCTGGAGAAAACATCTGCAGTCAGGAAGATGAAATACAGCAGGGCGTCAACTGCAGCACAACAGTGCCAACGCAAAACACACTGAATTCTGAGGCACCTTAGAAAAGCGGCAAATTACTCATCCCACAAAGTACCTGACATCTCAAAATTACAGGAACAACTCACCCTTTGAATACTATTGCTGCAGGGTATATGGTTGCTGTGCTATTTCAGTTTTAAAACCCATTTATTAGTATTGAAATACTTGATAATAGCACTATACTTTTTGACAGAGTATTAGAAGATGCTTAATGGTATCAATCACTGTGACGACGACTCTGGCTTTATTAATGACATCTGTGCTTTAACCTGGTTCCCAAACCATACCAAAGTATAGTAGGCTAAGTTCCATTTAACAGTAATACAATAAATAAAAGCAATAAATGTGACTGTGTTTTATTATTAATTTAATTTCAAAATAAATGATACTGTTCAACATGAGAGGAAAACCAGGATTTTTACAAACTAGACTTTATGAAAAGCCTAGATGTCCTCAGGCATTTTCAAATCATTACAGTGTTCTGTGAGGAGCTTACCAGACTTCCCTGAATGTTCATGGAAAACCAGTTTCAAGAAAAGTAGAATTAAACTTTTCTTTCCCACCAGCAATCAAACATTTTACAGTAATCAGCCCCAAAGCCCAAAGAATTTTCAGGAAACGTAGCATTATTTCAAGCAAAATTAATTCTAAACTATAACACCAAGAACAATGTGTGGAAGACAATACAAAATGTCGTCTTCTCCGTTCTATTCCACAATGCTTCTCTTTTCACTTTTCCTCACATTCAAACCCCCACCTTCCTCCCAGGAGCATCTGAGCAATCACTCTACCTAGAAACGTGTGTGTCATTCAAAAATAAGAGTATAAGGAAAGTGAATGATCTCTAAGTGATAGATCTTTTCACTCAAAATGTTTTTGTCTCTTTCTCTCTCCTTTGCACTATCCAGCAGAAATTGTTTCCCACAAGAGTCTAAGGAGCTTGAGTTTGACTGCGGATGTGCCAAATACCAATACAAATCATATCTGTTATCCAATGAATGTGCAATGGCAAGCATGAAGCACTGAAAAAAATTAAGATCAACATACTGTGAACTTCAGCCTCAGAAGCCTGGAATAGATAGATAGATAGATAGATAGATAGATAGATATAACTAAATCTGGGCTTTTTTAATGGTATTCTGGTTTTACCATACATTAAATACAGTCAAGTCAAAAACAAAACAGACTGGGCTGCAAATCTATGGACAAAGTATCTGGGAGATGCAATGATACAGCTGAAAATAGCACAAAGCATTATTAGATAAATTCCACTTAATTCATTTATTTGGCAAGGCTGAAGGAATTGAAGGAGGAAGGTTTGTTCTTCATACAGAATGAAAATAGATGTCAAAGTTCTTTATGCTCACACAACATTTCTCACATAAACTTGGCTCTCTTATTCTAATGTAGGTACAAAAGAAAACAGTTTCCCAGTGTTTCTCCCTACAGGTCTTGTTCTGCAGCTGGATAAAGGCTGAGCTTCTACAGAATAGATAGATGGGAGACTTCCAGCCCAAGCAAAGGGCTCATAATTGCAAGCATTAATGAAGTTCCATGAAAACAACACAAAATTCTCATTATTATTTACCACAAATAGAGCATTCAAAATAAAAACATAATTCACAGAAAATGTAGTAACACAAATATTACCATTTGCTGAAAGTAAGCAATGTTATAAAAAAAACCCGAACCAAACCAAAAAAAACCCAACCCAAAACCAGAAAGAACGCTCACAAATTGTCTTCCTTACCAGTTCACCTAGCTGTGAAAATATTCTCATTTCACAGGAGAATAGAGTTTAGGATGAGCTCCATAATAAAAAAAAATTTGCTGAAGAAAGTCAATGCCACTATTAGTCTTCCAATACTCTTTAAACCTTCAATGAACTACATTACACTGGAATTATTATCTTGCTGAAGGTGGCATTTAATGGCATAAGCCATTGAACCAAGGTTAGGGCCACCTGTACATGCTAGTCATTCATTGCAAGGAACAGAATATCAGTCTTTTTGGCCAGGCTGATTTCAAATACAAGTCATTACATTCTGCATATCAGTATTTTTATTTAATTTCATTTCTATTCCATCAATGTACTTCAACAGAAGTGGCTGTAGTTATTTCTCTACATGAAGATCATTAGATATTGTGGAGTCTACTACAATAACCAGCTTGTGTAAAAATCAGCCCTAATGAGAAGCCGTGAAATTACATGTAAAATAATTATTCTCACTGTCAACACCACATGAGTTTCTTAATGAGCAAACATTTAAAAAATAAATCAAAAATTCCAAGACCCATTAAAGAGGCTTTCTATTCTTTCATCACAAATATTCTGCACTGTTGTTGTGTTGTTTGGGTTTTTTTTAAGTGACAGAATGACAGTAAGAAGGTCAGAAAGCACCAAACTTAGTTTAAAAAAAACAATAAAAATCCCTATTTAGAACTTCAGACACACAAAAAAAAAAAAAAATCACTGATACTACATTTAAAGCATTTAAGTCAGAATTTTCAGTTACAGTCAACCAGTTAAATACGTACTTAAACTTAGATAATTGCAACTGTCTACAACAGCGACAGTTGCTCCCTGACAAAGCTGAGTATACGTACAGTACTGTACTTTCAGGACTCATTCTGAAAATAACACTTCCAAACAAAGCTGTGTGGTTAATATGAAAATTCTTATGACAAAAAGTGAGACTTTTTCATACATATCAGCCTTTTCACATGAACAGAATATTTAGTCTGTACTTATTAAACCACAGACATATGAATACCTACCCTGCATTGTTACTGACTGCTGTTATTCCCTTTACACCAGTCTTCAGCAAACCCCCAATGAGGTTTTCAGGAATCCCACACAATCCAAAACCTACATAAAATAAAAGAAAATTGAGTATGTAAGAGGCGTTGGCAAGAACACAGACTAATCAGAAGTCTAAGAACATGCACTGTTTAATTAAAAATCTTTTCTGAGTAGAATAAGCTCCTAAGTTGAATAACCAACATTTCTGGAAAGAATTACCCGAGTACTGGAATCTCCCAGTCAATAGATGCTTCCCAGTTTGGATTAAAGCCATTTAACCATCAGAGGTCTGCTCACACACAAACAGCCTTTGGAGAAGGGCTCCAGGACCTCCGCTCTCCTGATGTGTGTCCTAACCACTGTACTCGTTATTCCTCCTTCTCTTTCTACCCAACTAACCTTCAGTTCTTTGTTGCACATAATGTCAAACAGGAGGATCACAGAGTTCTCTCATATAGCTTGGTCTATAATTAGGTGATAAAAATCTGGGAACCTCAATGCTCTTGGGAAGATATGTAACTGGAAGCACAGTAACCCAGATCTCCACCCAGGCTGAGGTGCCTCACAGTCCTACCTATTATGACAAAACCCAGTATGCCTAAAATGAAAGACCACGCCACATCTGAGGTGCCTAAGTCTTAGGCCAGGCTCTATCGCTACAAGTGCTACTATTTCCTTCCCAACCACTTAGCAGCCTCAGATCTTGTTTTGTTCCGATAAAACAATAGTACAATAATTCTTCCTAGATGACATTTTGCCTCATTACACATCTCCACTGAGGTTTCCCATGTTTTACAACATTACATTCATTACTTCTTCAATACTAGAAACTGCTTATAACCTACTAAATAGAGATTGCTTTTCTTTCAGTAGATTGAATAGCATGAAATTGTGGAAATCATCTAGAATATTCAAAAGCTCAAGTCACAATGAAAGTCAGCATGACAAAACTTCTTGACTGTTCTGGAAATGCTAGACATAATCATTTAGTGTAACGTAGATAAGTATTATCTTCACTTCCTACAGCCAGAAACAGGTTAGCCGATTTGTTCAAGGTCACAGAGACCCGGCGACTAGGCAGATACAGAATATAGAGAATGTTACCACAAAGATAATCGATTCATATTTTATTTCTTCACAATCTGAAATAACAATGCTAACTTGAAAAAGCCCAAGTTGATTTTATGCATTTGAACTGCCACAAGCGAAATCTAACGCTTCTCTAGTGGGGAAAAAAAACTCATGATTTTTCTGAGGCTTTTTCCCTCCCCTTAGGAACAAACTGGGATTTTCTCAGTGAAAGAGCCTGCCCCTCATTAGCAGAGTAGGAAATCACTTGCTTAAAATGCCCATACAAGCATATGGCTTCTCAAATTAGTTAAAATTAAAACAAACATTGTAAAACGGTAAAAAGTATCTCATTAATAGAACATGTGATTGCATCCATAAACAATTTAAATATTTACCACCAACAAGTATAGTTGCCCCATTGGGTATATCTTTTACAGCTTCAACAGGATCAGTATAAAATTTGGTGCTGCGATGACAGCTGGTAGAAAAATAGCATCCACAAATCTGGAAAAACATTAAAAGAAACAAGTGAATGAATAAAAAGCATTATACAGTAGCTTTACAACGATGACCATCCCCCTGGCTAGATAAGGAGGAAAATATATAAAAAAAGATATTGCTACTGTAAACACTAAACATTGCAGCGGGGGAGAGAAGGGTTCAGGTCTTCAAAACAAGGACTTTGTAGTCTCTCTATCCTCCACATCACCCATATTTTATGACATTCATATGTATTATGAAGGCTTTAGGCTTAACACGATCTGCATCAATTCAACAGCTTCCAAACAGATTTCAAATTTCTGAATTTCATCCTAAACTGCTAACAAATTGTGACTTATCGTGAAAAGATTCACAAATGCAATTCCTCAGCACAAGTTAGAGCAACACAAAGACTGCTCTAACCTATATATTGCTTCAAAGACATCCAGATACTAAACATAACCAGAAATGGCTGAAGCAGAGAGCCAATACCACCATAAAATTTGAGTGGAGGCCAAGGAACAATATGAAGAACAGCACTGTGCCGTATAGTAAGCAGGGACACCCTTCAAAGGGGTAAGCCTTTGCCCAGCTTCCTTATGCTGTCTTAGAGCTCCTTGTGTTGAAGAGCAGCCCAGAAGCAGGGAAATTCCAGCTGATGAAACAGGGAGTGCAACAGGGAAATCAATACAAGTCCCATTCCCAAAACTAGACTTCACAGTGCAAAGCCATCACACGGTAACCACCATAAGTCATCTACCATATTCTCAGGTCATGGTTACCCCTTTTTTTTTTCTCCTTCTCTAAGTATTTCCCACTAACACCGGCAAGGTGTCAGGAGCAATTGACATTTAAGTCACTACATTGACAGTCTCCATAAACTGACAGTATCTGGAAGATAAAATACAACCTACTGGTGGTTCCACTTCCAATTTGATCGTGAAGTCAGAAATTTTAAACTGGGAAGAGGGAAAACAATTACTAAATAAATAATAAACAAGCTAATCTACACACGTTTCAAAGACAATGGCCTAATTCTTCCCTAAAGAGTTGCCTTAAGATCCAGCTACAACCAGGGCAATAATTTTTGCTCAGTTTCAAGATTACACAAACTGCCTTCTTTATTAAATCAAGACTGTAAGACTTTATATCGAATATTAGGCTGCCATTCAGACAGGTTTTCTTATCTCCCTCCTAATGGAAACGCTGATAATCCTCTGGTTTCATGGGCTCAAAAAGAAAAAAATCTGTACACAGGTCACAAGGAACAGTGCCAGGTGAGAACGACTAGAAGACCCTTCCCCGCACTCAATTATACCATGACTATTTCTTGCAGAAATATTTTTTCATAATGACAGTGGGACTGCAGAGTGTCTTTTCTGGTTGCATTCGGCAGGCAAGTGACAAAATGAGTGTTAAGTGCTGGCAGCCTCAGGAGGCCCAGCACAACAGGGCTGCAAGAGCAGGCACGAGGGCCAGGGCTGGAGGGCGGCCAGGCCACTACCGTGTCCCTGTACACACACATAGGGAATAAACAGACCACCTAGTACCTTTTCTTTAAACTTCACAACTGCCTGTAACAGTGGGGAACAAATGAGCAGCATGTGCTACATACGCGTGCATTCCCACATTGGGTGTCTCTAATGAGGGTATCTGCCCCTCTACACTAAATAGGTTCTTCTCAGTCCCTTTCCCACCCACTCGGCCATTTGAGAGCAATGGGCTTTCAGGCAGCTGGGTGTCAGGGGTCACTCATGCTCCCCCGCACACTGGGGCAGCAAGCTAAGACCTCAGAAGCTGGCTGCAATTCTAGCAGCCCAGGTTTAAGAGAGAAGTAACACGGGGACAGACAAGCTCCTAGAACGATCAACAAAATCAAAATAAATTTTATAGAAGAGCAAAACACAACTTAGCAAAACAAAGACTGAAAGAGCTACGATTATTTGTCCATAAAGGCATCAAGAAGAGTAAACACGGGCATGAGAAGGAGAGTAGATGAGATGTTTAAACTAAAATAAAATAAGAAAAGCCACAGAAAGAATTCTGGCTGAAGAGACAAAAAAAATAACTTGGCTATGGTTACACGTGGGCTGGGAACCATTGGAGGAGCGAGGTTTGGCAGAAGCTTCCCCCAGGAAGAGCAGAGTGAGCGAGCAAGCGAGCCGCCCGGCTGAACTCCACACGTTTGAATGGCAACAGACGGGGCTGCCAGGGAGCTGCGCCCGCGGACCGGGGCTCTCCCCGCCCGCACCTGCACCTACCGCCAGGGCAGACCGATGTGGTGAGAGCAACACTGAAATATACAGTAACACACTGTAATTGTGCTGCGATTTAAAAGGCAGCGGAAATTTTAAAAATTAAATAAATAAAAATTAAACCTCGAAGCCAAACCTCCGGGCCGGTGCTC